TACCCGGCAAAATGGACAAGGGATGAAATAAATAGCGGAGAATGAAATAACTGGTAGTCAGTCACGTTTTACCTGTACATGCCAAAAGGTTTTCAATCGGAATGCAAGTCTTCTCTATTACCGGGAACAACAGGCACAAGAAAGAATGTAGATATGAAGAAAGAGTAGAATGAACTCGTGAGAGCAATTTGCCTGAAAATCGAAATATCTACTTGACTATTCCACCAGGGACAATCATTTTCGTTAGTCTATTTCAGCACACGAGGTATACATGTAATATAACACCATAATGGTACTCAACTTACACCATGCAATGTTTAATTGGTATTCAACTATCAATGGACATGGCATTATCATCGATTTGCCTTGGGGATTTATTTCCTCCTGTCAACCAGACCCGGCTTTTGTTATCTGGCGACGAAAGTTCGCGGGTCACACAAGCATATTTTGATTCCAGTGACTTGGAAGAAGTTTATTCTGGCTATTTCGGTTCGGTTTCAGTCTTATGAAGTGATTCCGCTAATCAAGGGGCGTTTTGTTACAATTACAACGTGATTTGTTACCGCTAAAAAAATAACAGCCCTTCGTGTTCCGTTAGTTTCGTTTCCCCTTGTACAAGTTGCTATTAGCGCGAGGTTACGAAAACCGTGGGCATTCACGCACACACACACACACACACATACAGGGGCACGCACGCACCGGTGCAACTGTAGATGGTATCATTTATCATGCATGCACGAGCGAAAGGGAAACTAGCGGTGAATCATCTGTGCGTGACCATTGCACTGTCCACTCGCATTTATCCTCGATCAGGGTCGTGAGTGCCGCCGTGTGATGGACAGTTAAAATTGCATGTCCACAGTAAAAAGAAGGCGGGCGAAAGCAGTTTTCAACAATTCCTGTTATTGACCCATCCGTGTACACATTCATCATTGAGATATGTCAACCGGTAAACAGCCCGAGAGCCCGGGATCGGGGGAAGAATTGGTACAGTTACCGAAATCCAATCATTCCCATTCGGGTACTGTGCTAAATCGGTCAGGCATCGATTACCAACAAAACGTCAAACCTAATCAGAACTGATGAACCTTTTGTCCATAAACAAACTTCCTCCCTAAATACCGCACTTACCATCATTCGAATAAATAGATGTGTTAGCTGGGAGGATCGGAACCTCAAGACTGGGCGGGAAGAAATATTGTGTGATATGTTTAGGACTGATTAGCGCAACGTTTCATCTGTGGCTCCGATTACTGACGACCACTGTTTATCACTATTCCAAAGCTTAATCGGGACAAGATCACGGATATGTGAAAACTGGCCTCGGACACCGGGAAAATAGCAAAGGGGGAAAAGCATGATCATTTCATAGGGTTAGAACTCATATTTAACATGGGCTACATTTTTGGTCAGGACAGACAAAATCATTTTTGCATGGGATATTTGAAAATTGATCAAAACACAGCATCTTTTGTACAAACCAATCAGGTTGGTCTCTAAAATAGATGGTCGAAAATAGATGTAAAAGAGACTGAAACATTTCATTCCCTGGGGGGAAGGAGTAATCTGTGAAGAAATCTGAAAAGTTCTGTTCGGGCCCGTCTGATATTCACCACCAATGCGGTTCGTCTATATGCAGTAGATTGAAGGTGACCAAAAGGAAATATCTCTGCAACGATCATCGGTGCTGTCGAGAGAGGTTGAACGTAAGTCAAGTCGCTTGCCGTCCAATTACTTGTGGCGTATCTGAGTTATGCGGCACGCTTTTCACCCTAGGTCAGTCATCATGCATTGGTCATGCAAGATGGATCAAAGGTGGCACTAGGTTATGGAGAGTTGGCGCCAACGTGTCCTCCTCTGGGCTAACAGATATCGGCCTCACGGACCACCCGGAGTTTCTGGTGGACATGCGAAGATTGAAGAACTAACTACAAATCACAATTACTACAAACAGATATGTGTTTGGGCTAAGATTAGGAGTTCACGAGAAATCGGACATCGGTTTCTTTGATCGTTTGACGTAATCCTAAGCCACGTAAAGTCAAAGTGAAAGTTTTATGATGGGAATCACTTACAAGCTCATGCTTCTGCTGTCCCCATAGAATAGGATTTACACAACTGAATCGTTTCACGGTGAAAAAAAAGTTATATACAGTTCCAGGTAGGAGATAATAGAGAATGTGGGCTGCAATGAATTTGCATTTGCTTTTAGTGGTGTAGGAATGTGAGGTGTACCAAGGTTTCATCCAGTTTTCGCTTGAAAGATTCAATAGTTGGTGCAAAAACGACATGAGATGGATGGGTGTTCCAATTGCTGCATACTCTGACTGTAAAAGATTGGTGCCGTGATTCCAGTAGACACTTTCGAAACAGTAACTTGAGATGGAGTCCCCTTTGTATATGGGCGAAATAACTCCTTCTTTCCACAAATCTGGGAGTGCTGCTTGGTCGAACATTCGTTGGAACAGAATGGCTAGCGGTTCGGATATGTGGTTCGCCAAAAAGATCAGGGATTTCGGGTATGTATTGTCCGCATCTGGTAGGCTGGGGCACATCGTTCATATGGTAATGCACCACACAAACACAGTCAACTCAATTCAACTCAAAATAAGCTTTATACCCTTTGTATCAATTTACCGTAAACTAGACTGTGATCAGCTCATGAATGAAGCATTTATCACCACAGTATTTACCGTGCTTATGACAAAATGCGTTTTCTTCCCGTTTTTAAATACTGCACATTAACCAGGAAGAAAATAACACTTCTGGATGGATCTGTTCATACGATTCAGCCCCCGATCGAATTCCGTGCTTCTGTCGTTTAGGGTAAGCATGTTGATATTTAATCCTATTTGTAATATGCTTACCAGACAATGTATCCTGAGCTACTTATGAAAGACCCGGTTGGCAGGTCCATGAAAATCTCAATCGTGTGGGGACAACACTTCGGCTAACCTAACACATCCAATTTCCACCGGTTCGAGAAAATCTGTCAGCTTCAAGCACCCATTCCGAATTCAGGCACCGACTGACTCATCGTCCGGCATAAAAATGTTCCCCTTTCTACCGTTCCATGCTTTTCTGTCAACCTGAATATATTTTTTAAGTGACCTGAAAATGGAGCTCAATGAACTTCTATTGTTTTTTTAATTGCTTGTCCTCAGGCTACTGGTGTATTTTTTGCTTGAATCAACTGTCTTCTCGTGTTCATTCATCCTCCGGCCACAATCCTGTAAGTACGTGACTTGAATTGAATTCTAGTTTGTTTCTCACATGTAGTCCACTTTACAAAACTCCTGAATGTTCCTCACTCACGATGGTTTTGCAGTGTTTGCCATTTTAAAGGCAATCAAAGTGGGGTCACACCATACCATACAGAATAAATTTGTAGGAACACAACACACCTAAACACCGCTCTCATACCCGCGGTTGAATATCTCACATTCCTAACCCAGTTGATGCTTGGCTGTGATTGGCGTGGATGGGGTGTCATCCAAAGAGAAGTATGGGGTGAAAGGGGTATAGCGGCAAGATGTAAGTTGAATAGAAGTCAAGACTTATCAGCTATGTGATGTGATTTTGGCATGCACTGGTGAGGTCCGAATCTCTCGGTAATAATGAAAGAAGCATGTTATTTTGTTCCGAGAAGAGCAGGTCATAACTCGAAGCTTGCCATCAGCAAGCATGACCAATTCTTTGTCAGCCACATAGCGATTCTCAGCAATGCACACTTAACCAAGTTAGTCCAAACAAACCGTGTGGGATGATTCACCAGAAGGCGCCAGAAACAGGTTGCGAAATTCGTGTGATGCTGTTGACCTTAAGGTCAACCTCAGTGGTGTGTGCTGTCCGAGCTGGCCTCAGTGTGAAAACCGAGGATAGATCAGGCTTTGGTCGATTTGACAATCCCTCAATTCTGACCGCACTAGCCGAGTGTCCCGTTTGGGCTGAGGCGAAGTGTGAGGTCAGGAACAACAAAATACTTGGTGCCAGAAACACAGTAGTGAATCATAAACGATCCGATAACATCGTGCGAACAGCGTGAATGCAAACTTTGCATTGTTGGCAATCTAAACATGGCGTAGTTCGAGAATAAACATAGTGGACAAATCCTTTAGCTTTGCTTCAATTCACATTGGTGTATAAACTCAATCCCTCATCACTGTATGAAATCGTTTGAATAATTCAGTTGACTTCAAACCCTCTGATATTGATTCTTTCGTACTGTGGTATTTACCACATTTTATTAGGCATGAACCAACTGGAAGTTGTTCCAAACAGAATGTTAGTTCGGATTCCCGTGCCTACTCATTGTTCATATCCTTGCGTAATTAATACTGTCACCTACTTTGCGAAACGTTTCCAAGTTCAAAAAAGGTAGGAATCGGAACGAGCAAACACCCAGGGAATGATGTTCACTGCCTTCATTCTAATATATTTCAATTTATTTTTATTTATTCCGTTTAATGAATTTAATATGAACAAGTCAAATGCATCACATGATGCAGTGTTACATACAGTCCTGAAAGTTCACGTGAACATTTGCAGTTGGTCCAAAGGAATGCTAAGTCAGGCGAATTCCCCGAGAGCATGATGGTTCAAAGACTATTGCGGAGAATTTCGCATGCAACAGTTTCTCAATGGGCTACACAAGCGGACTGCGGCCGTTTCGATTCAGTCCGGAACTTTGCATTGACTGACTTGATGTGCCAGTCCCCCCCCTTTTTCAATGAGAGTGAATCGAAATTCCGCTGCATTTTGTGGCATTTCCACATCCACACATATGTACAGCAAACATACGAGATATTTTTCTCACCTCACGGTTAAAAATGCAAGTGTGAGCATACCTCTTGGCCTCATTCGACAGATTCCGCTACGCTGGATACGTTTCACGTAAACAAACCTGCCTGCCGTGCAACAACTTATTTAACAAATATAGCGCGCATACACACATTCACAACAACGATGAGCGAGGATGCGATCAGATGGCAATGTGACGTTCACGTACCACAATCCCACTCGTCACATTCCAGTCGACCGTCAAAGAATACGGACAAAACGTATACCAGTTCCGCTTGCTGATTCGATCCCGGTCGTTTTGGTTTACGCACCAACCACTCCTGTTCGAATTGTGCATTTGAAACGCGCACTCCCGCGTCGGTTTGGTTCGTCATCACGGGCTTGTTTTCCAACTCTTGTAGATTTCCTGTCACGCGGTGTGGGCAATAGAGTTTAACCATGAGATTCGATATAGAATAATTGGAGGATAGAGAGAAAACGAGAAGGGGTATAATGTTCTGGTTTTCTTCAAATAGAAGACATTCAAAATCTACGGACGAAATGCATTTCGTTCTTATTCCACGTTCTTTGTAACAGGATACAATCTGAACGGTCACGTGACTTCAACGAAATTCGAATGTGCTAAGACTGAATTCCAAATGGCGACGCTAATGCATTAGTATTGTTAGGGGCCCGTAACCCAGCAAAAGAACTCATAACACAAAAGAGCGCGCCCATCGGAATCGGTTTAACGATTTAATGAATGATCGTGAGAAGACATCAATCGATTAATCAATGACCTAAAACTAAGTCAAGCTTACTCACGGACGAAACGGCTTTGAAGGGTATTGAGCAGTGTTTGCAAGAACAACTGTATCACGTGATTAGAGGATGAATAGAAGTCGATGGGCGAATACGTACGTAGTAGGGTGAAAATTCATGCTTTTGACAATTTCCCCCTTTCCTAACACTTGCTACAAGTCAACAATATAACGTCAACATAGAGGCCATTTCGTCCCCACATGTTATTACACAGCTTTTGGTCGATCATAGCCTCATTTTAACGAAGCTGTATAGTATCCTATTTAATAGATAAAATATAATGGAATTAGAAAATAGGGACGGTCAATTTGACTCGGATAATCCCAATACTCATATACTTATTTTCAATGTTAACTGATCAAAGATGCCGCATTGATGCCGCAGTTTGAGTATGACGAACTGTCGAAATCTGAATGAACCAGTCACGTGGGCACCAAATTCAAAATGTTATCTCATTCAACCACGATATGCGAGGAATTTTGATCGATCGGGTACAGATGCCTGTTCTCTTGAGCACTGAATGTTCGTGCTGAACTACATTTTTTTCACCCTATTTTCTTTTGTGGGATTCTACCTTTGAAAAGTAGTTTACTATATATTTACTGCTCTTCATATTATGTGAATTAATCCATTACCTAAAATTTTCCCCTTCCATGTGCTAACCAAATTCGTCTTACCATTATTTCAGGAAAATTGATTTTGCACCTGAAACGTTGAATTTAAAGTAAGGCCTCTAACCCAGTCCGACAATAAATAAAACAATTGTGACAGAGGCTCTGACTACGCTCTGATGGGGCTCGC